TGTAATCGAAAGGCGAGGCTCCGCCGCGGCGCGCAGCAAGGCCGAGCACCGGTAATCCCCAGCGAGCCGCGAGCGGCAAAGCCTGCCCGCGCAGGAGTCGCTGCGCTCGGCCGCGCATTCCGGCTCCGGGAAACCATTTCTTTTCTCTTTTTCCTTTTATTTTTTTTTTATTTTTTTTTTAAGGAGGAGGAAGAGATGGGCTCTGCTCGTCCATGAGCGACGGGCGCCGGTTCTCCTAAGCCAATCGCCCTAGCCGGGGAGCAGCTGGCGGGGCAGCTCATTCTCACCCGCTCCTGGTTCTTTTTGTTTTGTTTTGTTTTTTTCAAGGTGATCCGGCCACGAGAGTTGATCATCTGCCGAGCACGGCCACTACTAGATGCAAACAGGCTAGTCTTGGCTTGCCCAGTCTCCGGCAGCTCCTGGCAACTGAACAAATCCTAAATTTTTGATTGATTAAAATGATTTTTAAAGAACTAAATCAGAATTCACCAACACACCCTAGTGCTCGCTGACCGATTCAAGTGCCAGCTACAGAAGGGACTAGTCAGGGAGGGGTGCTGGGCTCCCTGGAGAGGAGGAGGAGGAGAGCGAGCTCCGGCCGTGCCCACGGAGTCCCACGTGCGCGCGCGGGCGCAGGGAGGCTCGGCGCTGCCACCTGGCGGCGGCCGCTGCCCAGATGGGGACGCGGCTGGCCGCAGAAGCTGCCCGGCTCCCGGTGGGCGTGCCCTGTGTCCGCCTCGGGAAACCCGGCAGAAGCCCTGGGTCGGCCTGCCTCAGCGCCACCGGGCCCCGGCAGACACCCGTGTTCTCTGCCTGTCCTCCTGAGAAGATCAGCAAGAGGGGGGAAATGCGGGCCACTGGTTTGGAGCGCTTCCAGGATCCTACCATGTGCTCGTGGCTCATGTGGCACAAAATGATGATCTCTAAGTCTGTTCTAAGAGTGAAAAATAAAATAAGAAAATTAAATAAAGCAGAGTCTTCATTTGCCGCCCCCCCCCCGGGGGGGTCCTGAGTTGGTATTTGGAAAATTACTGCTATGTATGATTTTTTTTCAATACGACCCCTGGTCCGGTCCAGTTTCCATACAGCATCAACCCTAGAAGATAGTGTTGTGTTGTCTACTTCATTAGGCAGCCAATCAGAACAAAAAAGCCAGGGTTCTTTCAGTTGACCAAGGCCAGTGGCATCCCATTCCCACGGTTTCTTTCCTGTCAACTAAATAACAAGGGGGTCCCTCCCTCCAGGCCAGTACCCCTGTATTTTATTTTACCTGCATACTGCTCAGGTCAGATGAGCTTCTACAGTCATAGTTTCTACAGCCCAGGCTAGGCACAGTCTTGCAAGTCCTGGATATTTGTTGCTATAATTTCATTCAAGGTTCTCCCCCACACCCCACCCCCAACAACCTGCACCTCTGTGCTAGGAACACATGAGGCCGCGTATAGTATCTTATTTCCATCTATATCATTTGTGGGAGTTTAGGCTGTGCAGGTGTGTGAGAACAGAAGAGAAATACCTTACCAAATACTACACTGACATTGCAAACGTAAGCTCATTATTTAGTGGAATAACTAAAAGATCAAATATTTACCCTCATTTAAAAATTTGAAATGTGTAGCTCACTGCTAATCAAGACAATTCATTTATTATTCCAAAATTAAGACTTTTTTTTTTTTTTTTTGCAAAATTACCTTGGCTTTCTGTTACTACAGTTAAAAGAGTAGCATTAAGGATTACTGCATGTACTGCAAAGCCAGCAGAGGGAACACTGAGTACTGATTTTGTAGGGGCCACCAATTACCTGGTATTTGGGGGAAAAAAAAGTATTAGAGAACTAGTACTTTTGATTACCAAGCATATAAAGTGATGTAATGAGAACACAGAAATCTGGTTCTGCTTCATTATTTGGTATTCAGAGGCTTGATACATCCCAGTGTACAGACAGTAAGAAGGATGACTTTAATAAAAGGCCTTTGTCACACATTTTCTTATATTCTAAGACACTTAACACGCAAAAATAGACCTGCATCAGAAGTCTAATCACAGAAGTCTAATTACATGGTATCATCACAAAATTGGTGAAGTCACTAATACCCTATTTCATGAATTCTGAGGGAAGATCTTTCTTTTTCGTTTCAACACCTCTGGCACAGGGAGGCATCTTGCAAGGAGATGGCTGTCACCGTTTCAGAGGCAGTTTTTCTTCCTTGATGGTAGGTAACATAATGGTAGGTCTTAAAATCTGCTGGATTTGTTGAGATGCAGAAAATGCATCCAACAAAAACAGGAGACCAGTGGTTATTAGGAATGTACCCTTTTAAAATCTCCCTGCTTTAAGCATAAATGTAACTGTATATATGAATACATGAAATTTGTTCCCTTTATGTAAAATTTTTTAAGACGCAAAAAAGAAAGCATAAACATAATTACTGTCACTACTTTAACTGCCATTTTCTTCACAACATAGTGGTGGTGGAAGCATAAATGATTTGGAAATATAGTCAATTATATTGATATTCACCTTGACTGAATCATCAAAGTAGCTACATCCTCAAATCACAGCTGACATAAATATCAAAATAAGTATATTTTTTCTCTTTTTCATCCTAGTGAAAAGATTGGTTTTATGGATAATACACCTTTTAGAATAATTTTTATGTCAGATTGATATCATTTAGGGGTGTGTGTTTATTAAAAAAAGAAATGTATGATAACACACCAATATAGTTATGCAAAAATCAATGCCTGTGTGATTTTTTGGGGGAGGGCAGATGTTTCGAATTTCTTTCCCCTCTGAAAAAAAATGCATGTACCTTGGGTAGCCAATGGTAAAAAATTATCTGCCTTTACCCACAAGCACATTCCTGCTTGTGGCTGATCCTTGGAGGGTCAGATGTCTCCATAGTGTGGTTTTTTCCCTAGTAAAAGTCTAAATTTGACAACCTGGGCCTCTTGCCAGCCTCCATACTTTAAAAGGTTGACAAGATAAATAGAAATCTGTCCAGCACTAGTTTGATCTGAATTGAAAGCTGACTTAATTATGTTGGGTTGGCTCTACCTATCACTGGTCTCAAGAAAGTCAGGTTACCATTGCAATGTTGAGGATGGTCAAGTTGTTCTAAAATTTTGATCTTCACACACTGGGAAACGGACAATTTGTGTGGCCAAATTAGTGTGCACTCTGAATAGCTAGGAACACTTTCCCTGCCACATTCAGGCCTCCTCTTTCTTTAAAAATCAGTGAGGTGAGAGGGGCTGCTGCCACCGTTCATGTGTGGTTGGTTCACAGCCCAGCCCAACCCAGGTTTGACTCTGGAACAACACGCTGCTTCTGTCAGGGGTGTCTCTGGCATCTGAATTACCAAAGGAAGAGTGTGAACATGCCCCGAGGGTTTACTACACATTAGGTGTTTTGTAGTCACAAACTGATGGACCCTCCCCTCCCAACCACCATGGTTCCTGATGCCCCCATGTCACAGATGAGGACAACCGAGGCTTGGTGTCACATCCCCACATCCGGTCAGAAGCACCCACAGTCAGATCTACTGTGGACGCGGAGGCTGCGTTCTCTTCTGGCACCCGTTACCACCTCCACCTGCAATTTCCCCTTGCCTTGGTCTTTTAGTTCTATTTGACCCAAGTAACAGATGGGAGATGTATGGGAAGGGAAGGGAAGGGGAGCAGGGCGGGGGAGGAGGCTCTGAGGGCAGGGTGGGGAGAGACCGTGGGGCGATCTTTAATTCTGACAATGTGGAAAACACTGCTGAGAAAGCGAAATCAGTTTCCACCCGTCACCAGCCATGGTCACCCTGTGGACACTCCCCCTTTGAGGGGGCCGTGGTGCCCCGTTTGCTGTGTTTCCAGGGACAGCTCTGCTGTTTGGGCTCTCCAGAATTTACAGAGGAGTTGCAGCCATTAACCAGCCAGAGTTAACCCCTATTTGGTTAAGAGCGTAAGCAATTATTCTAAAAAGTCCTCCTCCCTGCCGTCCACCGACAGTGTAGACACGGTTCTTGGGGAGATTTACACAATACAATCAACATCTGCGCTGTACCTAGAATTGTTAAAATAATTGTGATGACAGGTGTCTAGGTACCACTTTCTTAATGGTTTTCAAGATCCACTGATTTATTGTGGCCTCCCCCTCCTCCACCCCCCACCCCCGTTTACATCTTTGGCTCTTAAGGAGTGAGGAACAGATTTTGCACTGGAGGCTGATTCTTTCTTCCAATGCTGAAAAGAACTAATAAAAATAATCACTTGGCTTTTAAGCAGAAAGCTTCCATTTGCAATATTTCACCCTCATCTCCCCACCCCCCCTCCAAGCCCCTTGTTATCTAACATAATGGTTAGAATACATTTCCGTCTCTCCCCTTAATAACTTCATGCATTAACATCCTCTTCACACACACCCCACACGCCCGCGCGCGCGCACACACACACAGACACACGCACACAGCAAAAGGAAAAAAGAGGCAGCAGAAATCTCAGCTGCACTCCTAGCCCTTTTAAAAAGTTTGCTCTGTAAATTGGAATGAGGTCAGATGTGGAGCTTCTCATTGCACGCGGGGATTATTATTGCATCGGGTTCCAAGCCAATGGGAGGCTCGCGGGCGGGGCTTGGCACGAGAAGCGTTAGTTACAGCGGCTGATTGGCTGCGGCCAGGACTGTGAAAGGATAAAGAGGCGCGAGGCGGAATTGGGGTCTGCTCTAAGCTGCAGCAAGAGAAACTGTGTGTGAGGGGAAGAGGCCTGTTTCGCTCCCGGGTCTCTAGTTCTTGCACGCTCTAGTCTGCACTGGAGGAACTCTGCCATTACCAGCTCCCTTCTTGCAGAGGGAGGGGAAAACATACATTTATTCATGCCAGTCTGTTGCATGCAGGCTTTTTGGCTTCCTACCTTGCAACAAAATAATTGCACCAACTCCTTAGTGCCGATTCCGCCCACAGAGAGTCCTGGACCAGAGCACTGTTATTCATTTTTTTCTTGAGAGCTTGCATTGCAAGAAAGGGACTAAGTGATACAGACTATGTCTCTTTCGTGAGCTACCGAGAGCGCTCCTGAACTGGAAGCAACTGCTTCAGGGGAAGAAGAAAAAAAAATTTTTTTTTTTTTTTTTAAAGAGACTTGCCTGGGAGGCGACGAGAAACTTGGAAGCCTCAGCAATCAGCATTCGCGAAACTCCGTCTCCACTTTTAGCACGGTCTCCAGACTCTGAGCCGACAGACAGCAAACTGCGGCGCGGTCGGTGAGAGAGACTCAGAGAGGGGAGAGAGAGAGAGAGAGGGAGGAGAGAGCGAGCGAGCGAGCCTCTCCAGCCTGGAAGCTACAACTCCTGCGCGACAGGCGGAGTTCTCCGTCCCCGCATCTTTTTGCGGACTTTTCTCTCCTCGCCCACCTCCGCCCCGGCGCGGAGTGGAGGGGCCCGCTCGGCCGCGGCGCGCGACCCTCGGCTCGGCGTGTGCTCGGCCCCGGGCAGCCGGCAGCGCCCGGCGATCGCGCCCCGGGCCGCCGCGAGGGTGTGAGCGCGCGTGGGCGCCCGCGGAGCCGGGGCCATGGTGCAGCAAACCAACAACGCCGAGAACACGGAAGCGCTGCTGGCCGGCGAGAGCTCGGACTCGGGCGCCGGCCTCGAGCTGGCCATCGCCTCGTCGCCCACGCCCGGCTCCACCGCCTCCACGGGCGGCAAGGCCGACGACCCGAGTTGGTGCAAGACGCCGAGCGGGCACATCAAGCGGCCCATGAACGCCTTCATGGTGTGGTCGCAGATCGAGCGGCGCAAGATCATGGAGCAGTCGCCCGACATGCACAACGCCGAGATCTCCAAGCGGCTGGGCAAACGCTGGAAGCTGCTCAAAGACAGCGACAAGATCCCTTTCATTCGGGAGGCGGAGCGGCTGCGCCTCAAGCACATGGCTGACTACCCCGACTACAAGTACCGGCCCAGGAAGAAGGTGAAGTCCGGCAACGCCAACGCCAGCTCCTCGGCCGCCGCCGCCGCCGCCGCCTCCAAGCCCGGGGAGAAGGGAGACAAGGTCGGTGGCAGCGGCGGGGGCGGCGGCGGCAGCGGCGGCGGCGGCGGCGGCAGCGGCAACGCGGGGGGAGGAGGCGGCGGCGCGAGCGGCGGCGGCGGCGCCAACTCCAAACCGGCGCAGAAGAAGAGCTGCGGCTCCAAAGTGGCCGGCGGCACGGGCGGCGGGGCCAGCAAGCCGCACGCCAAGCTCGTCCTGGCGGGCGGCGGCGGCGGCAGCGGCGGTGGCGGGAAAGCTGCGGCCGCCGCCGCCGCCGCCGCCTCCTTCGCGGCCGAGCAGGCGGGGGCCGCTGCCCTGCTGCCCCTGGGCGCCGCCGCCGCCGCTGACCACCACCATCACCACGCGCTGTACAAGGCGCGGACTCCCGGCGCCTCGGCCTCGGCCTCCGCGGCGGCCGCGGCCTCGGCCACCCTGGCGGCGCCCGCCAAGCCCCTGGCTGAGAAGAAGGTGAAGCGCGTCTACCTGTTCGGCGGCCTGGGCGCCACGGCGTCCCCCGTGGGCGGCGTGGGCGCGGGCGCAGACCCCAGCGACCCGCTGGGCCTGTACGAGGAGGGCGGCCCGGGCTGCTCGCCCGACGCGCCGAGCCTGAGCGGCCGCAGCAGCGCCGCGTCGTCGCCGGCCGCCGGCCGCTCGCCCGCTGACCACCGCGGCTACGCCAGCCTGCGCGCCGCCTCGCCCGCCCCGTCCAGCGCGCCCTCGCACGCGTCGTCGTCGTCGTCGTCGTCCGCCTCCTCCTCCTCGGGCTCCTCGTCTTCCGACGACGAGTTCGAGGACGACCTGCTCGACCTGCACCCCAGCTCAAACTTTGAGAGCATGTCCCTGGGCAGCTTCAGCTCGTCGTCGGCGCTCGACCGGGACCTGGATTTTAACTTCGAGCCGGGCTCCGGCTCGCACTTCGAGTTCCCGGACTACTGCACGCCCGAGGTGAGCGAGATGATCTCGGGAGACTGGCTCGAGTCCAGCATCTCCAACCTGGTCTTCACCTACTGAGAGGGGCGCGCGGGCCGGGGAGAGGAGGGGGCCCGGGGAGAAGCGAGAGAGGAGAAAGGAGAGAAAGAGAGAGAGAGAGAGAAAAAAAAAAAGGAGAAACGGAACGGATGAAGAGCCGAAACAGAAAAGGGAAACAGAGAAAACGAAAACAAAAAAATGTTTGAAGAAAAAAAAAAAGGAAAAAGGAGCAAAACAGTGCGCAGGGCCGGCATCGGCGCGCCCCCGCCGCTGGAGCGGAGCGCGGGGGCGCTTGGACGCGCGCTCCCATCCCCCACCCTGCGCCCGGCGCGGCCCGAGGGTGGACGGGGCGACCTTTTGGTGTTGTTATTGATGTTGTTGGTGATGATGGCAAAACAAGCTACTTCGAGTTTCCTCCCCTTTGCTTGAAGAGACCCCCCCCCCGCACCTCCTCCCCTTCCAAAAGAGAGAGAGCTTCCGGACTTGTCCGCGCCCCCAGCGAGCCGCCCGGCTAGGTTTTTGTTGTTGTTTTGTTTTTTGTTTTTGTTTTTGTTTTCTCTGAGAGACTGAAGGAATCTTAGCCCTCTCGCTTCGCCACCTGCCTGGTTTTGTTTGATTTTTGTGGTGTTTTTCTTGGTCCGGTGCGGAGGGGAGAGTGGGGGGAGTCCAGCGCGCCCCCTTCTTCCCTCCCTCCGTTCTCTCGCTCGCTCGCGCGCTCTCTCTCCTTCTCTTTATTTTATTGCCTCCTGAAGACAAGGCTGCGGGGAGGGGGTGATGGCGTCTGGCCGAGGGCAGAGGTTTTTAGGGGAGCGTTGGGACTGAAAGACTCCACGCTGGCCAGTTCCCGCCCGGACCCCACCCCCACCCGCCACCCTGCTCCCCTTCCTTCCTTTCTTTGCCTTTTTTTTTTTTTTTCCTGTTTCTTTCTTTCTTTCTTTTTCTTTTTTTAAATTCCCTCGCCCCTGCAGCCGGAGGAGGCGGTGAGGAGGGGTGGAGGCCAGCCGGGGGGCCGGCGCTGGGCAGTGGCCCGAGGACCGCGGCGGGGACGAGGGCGAAGGCGATGGACGCGCGGGCTGGCGGGGCACCTGCCGGACTGGAGGGGTGTGCGGGTGTGCGCGGGGCCCTGCGGGGCTGCGGTGGGACTGCTGGATGCGGGGCAGGGCGAAAGGTTTCGGGGGGAAAAAGAAGGTTTTTTTTCTTCTCTTAATCGGAATCGTGATGGTGTTGGATTATTTCACTGGTGGGGTTAATATAGCATGTTATCCTGTCAATCTTTTAAAGATTTCTGTATAAGACTGTTGAGCAGTTTTTAAAATAGTGTAGGGTAATATAAGAAGCAGATAGATGGCGCTATGTTTGATTCCTACAACGAAATTATCACCAGCTTTTTTTCATTCTTAACTCTTTAAAGGATTCAAACGCAACTCAAATCTGTGCTGGACTTTAAGGAAAAAAAAACAATTCAGGACCAAATTTTTTCTCAGTGTGTATGTGTTTATTCCTTCTAGGTGTAAATGAGAAGACGTGTTTTTTCCCTCACCGATACTCCATCCTCGTCTTTTCTTTTTCCTTGTAAATGTAATCAGATGCCATTTTATATGTGGACGTATTTATACTGGCCAAACGTATTTTTTTTTTCTTATTTTAATCCCTTTTTTCTTTCCCTTCTTGGGCTTTCGTTACTTTCTTTTCTTTTTTTATTTTTTTTGTTAAACTTTATTTTTTCCTTTCTTTTTCTTTCTGCCTTTTTTTTTTTTTTTGGTAGTTGTTGTTACCCACGCCATTTTACGTCTCCTTCACTGAAGGGCTAGAGTTTTAACTTTTAATTTTTTATATTTAAATGTAGACTTTTGACACTTTTAAAAAACAAAAAAAGACAAGAGAGATGAAAACGTTTGATTATTTTCTCAGTGTATTTTTGTAAAAAATATATAAAGGGGGTGTTAATCGGTGTAAATCGCTGTTTGGATTTCCTGATTTTATAATAGGGAGGCTGGTTAATATCTCACACAGTTTAAAAATCAGCCCCTAATTTCTCCATGTTTACACTTCAATCTGCAGGCTTCTTAAAGTGACAGTATCCCTTAACCTGCCACCAGTATCCACCCTTCAACCCCAGTCTCATAAAGAATAAGAGGGGTGGGGAGGGAGAATTGGCTGAACACTGTATGCTTTTCAGAAAAAAACAGTTGTCTAGAAGAAATACTGTTCTGTCCAGAGGCTTTAAAACTGGTGCATTTACAGCAAAAAGGGATCCTGTAGCTTTAATTTGTAAACCACATCTTTTTTGCACTTTTTTTATAAGCAAAAACGTGCCGTTTAAACCACTGGATCTATCTAAATGCCGATTTGAGTTCGCGACACTATGTACTGCGTTTTTCATTCTTGTATTTGACTATTTAATCCTTTCTACTTGTCGCTAAATATAATTGTTTTAGTCTTATGGCATGATGATAGCATATGTGTTCAGGTTTATAGCTGTTGTGTTTAAAGATTGAAAAAAAGTGGAAAACATCTTTGTACATTTAAGTCTGTATTATAATAAGCAAAAAGATTGTGTGTATGTATGTTTAATATAACATGACAGGCACTAGGACGTCTGCTTTTCTAAGGCAGTTCCGTTAAGGGTTTTTTGTTTTTAAACTTTTTTTTTTTTTTTGCCATCCATCCTGTGCAATATGCCGTGTAGAATATTTGTCTTAAAATTCAAGGCCACACAAAACAATGTTTGGGGGAAAAAGAAAAAGAAAAAAAATCATGCCAGCTAATCATGTCAAGTTCACTGCCTGTCAGATTGTTGATATATACCTTCTGTAAATAACTTTTTTTGAGAAGGAAATAAAATCAGCTGGAACTGAACCCTAAATCTTGACTTTTGTCATTATTGTGCCCAGCGCCTAACATCGGGAGGGGCCCTACTGTGTGTCGAGACTGCATAATGTGCAAATTCAGTTCCCAGAGAGAAGCCTGTTAAATGGCACCTGATTGAAGAACACGGAGCTCCTGACCCCGAAATGATGGCATCAGCCGAATATGTGTCAACTACATGCACGCTTTCTAGGAATTTTTCTGTTTGCCACATTTAAATTAAAGCGCCCTTTGTCTTGAAAATTTTTAAAGGGGGGAGGGGCAGCCTGTTCAGAATTCTCCGTGGACGAAACCAGCCGGCGGATCTTTCTTGAACTTGATGATCCTGAAGCTTTCTCCTTGACTCGCTCATTTTGTCTACCATCTCGCAGGAGCTAGAAGTGTTTTTCCGCTGATAAAGAACACATTAAGCCTGTTCAATTATCAGTAGATCGTCCAGGCTTTCTACTTTACCGATTGTGAAATGCAAATGGTGCTTAAGTTTCTCCCTCCCTCCGAAACCAAAAGATTATGTGGTGCTAAAAGCTTCCTTTTGTGCTGTTCCCAACGTGGGTATATAAATGTAAGAGACAGGCAACAATAGGGATGGGCTGGATAAGTGGGTTCCGTGAGACCCAGGAGGAAAGCTGTCCTCTCAGTAGCTCGCACCTAGGGTAGGGATTTATACTTCCTTTAAGCAGCAGGCGCAGCAGGATTGCTGAGATCTCTCTGCTAGGAGAGAAAGTACCTGGGATAGCTAAGGCCTGTTTACAGTTTCGTTTGCACCTTGCTAAATAGCAGGATTTCCTGTTGATTTTGAGGGTTAACAATTGGCATTGACTAACAAAAGCCATCTTCACTTCCAAATGTCCTTTAATTAAGAATGTGTATTTTACACGTCTTCTATTTTTTCAGCACTGGGCAGGAGGGGTTAATAAGAAGTTTTTGGAAATAATCCCTTAATTATCTTCATTGCTTAAAGGTAAGAGCTGGAAGAAGAGATTTTTGGAGTCTGTCGTCCAAAACAAGCAGTTATTTCTGTTCAATAAAAATCCGTGGTTTACCCCTCTCTAAAACAATATAACTCTTGTGTTTCCATAGAATTCATCTTTTAAGGATAGCTTCCAGCTTCCAAATTTTTTTCATGGATGCTGCTAATGGGTTTAATTGCATTTGTGTTTTGCAGTTACAATACCACATTTTTTTAAAGACCTTGAAACATCACATCTTAAGTTTCTTCAGAGATCTTTGCAAAAAGGGGAAGAACTCTTATGTAGGAAAGTGCTTAAATTTAATTTTTGTTCATCAGAGTGACGGTTTTTCAGATCCAAAGTATCGACACTTTGGCATAAATTAAGCCCTTATGATGCATGTTTTAAAATGATGCTTATCTTTATATTTTTATTTTGTAGAATTCTCCTGCTACAACTGTGTTTGTCCTCCCTTGATTTTCCATGTGAGAGCATATGCTGTAGATATTTTAAGGATTTTGATGACATTGCTTTAAAAATTAAAGCTCAAAGGTGTATGTTTTTCCTGGTGGGTGGTAAATGTAAGAAGCATTTTTATTCTCTTTCCTTTAAATCAATTTCTATTCAGAGAGCAAGGCATAATAAACCCAAGAAACAAAACAGTTCAGTCTTTGCAGATAATTTGGATCAATAGGAAAGCATACATTTCAGATTTTCTTTTAAGAATATCAAGCAATTTTTCTTTCAAGACATTGCTTCTGGCCCTGTGCACCAGCAGAAATATGAATCAGTGATCCTTGCTTAAGCAGGTTTTATCCATTCCTAGCTGAATCCCTTCAAGTGCCAACAGAAAATACAGAGCATGCAAGATGATAGGGTGAGATGAGTGTGCAAAGGCTTCTTGGATTTGCGTTGCCCTGCTCCGGCTGGCTGGGGTGTGCTGCAGGCCCTGACTGGCTCTGAGGGAGGAAAGCAAAGCTTTACTTGGGGAATGAACACCAGCATTCACCCTGTACTTCCTGTGTTTGTAGGGGACATGTAAGTGGGTTGGGGAATGCTGTGAGTCAGAATTCATTATAAATTCAAAACAATTCAGGGGTTCCAGGGAAGTATTTGGGAAAATACTTAAGACCAAGAAAATTCAGAATTCTAGGAATACAAGTCCCTCTGACCCATTCGGATTTTTCAGGGTAAAGATTGGTCTGTATTTGTGAAGATTGGTCTTTATTTTTCTCCCTGGTGGTTCTGTGCCCTTCCCCCACCCCTGCCTCTCCTTGAGGTCCTGAAAGAGCTCCCTAATCCATATTCACCAATGTTTACCCCCTACCCCTCTGACTCATCCTGGGAAATATCTCCATACACATGTCTAGATTTTTCACCCTGGCTATCATTTGACAGCTAAAGTGGAGGAGTGGGGGATGGAGTGCAGTGTCTCAGGCCTCAGCATGGTGTTTCAGACTCTGCTAAATGTCTACCACAATCTCCCCTTGCCCAGGATAAAGTGCACAATCCTACATGCCAGTCCAGGCCCTGCACAAACAGTCTCAGCCCACCTTGTCAGATCTGAATCTCCAAATTTGCATACTCTACTTCTTTGCACATAATCAGTGTTTAATTCTCATTTGTTGATTTAACATTTTTCCTTGTTTCCATGGGGCCTTAAGAGCTTCCAAAACATATTTGCATTTTGTGCTAACTGTGGCAAGCAGGAAAACCCGGGCTTTGGTGAAAACCCAGGTTAGAATGCCTACTTTGTGACCAACTAGCAGGAAGATCTTGTTCAAATTTCAGCCTCCTTAAGCCTCAGTGTTCTAAATCATTAAGTAGAAAGAATGCTATCTAATGTATAAAGCTGTTGTGAGAATTGAGTGAAATTGCACATGCAGAATACACGTGCATGCCTGGCTACCGTATGGGCTCATTAAAGTGCTGGTTCCTTACCTCATGCGTCGTTATAAAAAGTTAATGCATGGGCAAGCCTAGTACAGTGCCAGCAACATAGAAGACACACAGTTCTTAAAAATAAATCCCTGATTCAGTGTTTCCCCAGTCTGGTGTCTGAACCTCTAGGGCCAAATTTATCTGAGGGTTCTTGCTAGGCGTAGAGATTACACAGGTCCCAAGCTCACAGGGGGCTGGGGCCCTTAAGAAGCCCCCCCAGGTGTTTCTTATGCTCACAGAATTTGAAAAAATCACTGCCCCCACAGTGTTTTAGCATATTTTCCCAATTAATATGCAGGAAAGAGATTGTTACCTCCTATTTTTGCATGGAGAAATTGAGAATGGTTCAGTGACAGAGACCAAGAAGTCAGAAGTGAGAGAGAGGGCACTTGAAACCCTTTTTCCCCGATTTGGAGGTGCCTTCTCCATTTGAGTAAGAGAGGGACACTTACCTGTGGCCCTGAGCCTCTGACAGGCTTTCCCCAGCTCTCTGACTCCCTGTTTTTTTTCCCCAAGGACTCCCCCACCATCCTAGCTGAAAGTGTGTTAAGTAATTAGCTGGGTTAATACGTATGTACAGTCTAGTTCAAAAATGAGTGCTAAGCGATAAACACAGAGACCAAATTTTGGAAGGAGATCAGAAATGGTATAAATACAGTGAGTAGAACTTCTGCTGTGTTGTTTAAAAGGCAAAACTTGCAGCAAGTGAGAAAATTGGAAGTTTCTCAGAGGCATGCTCTCGGTCTTTATAGAGAGGGCTACAGACTACCCATTATATCCTAATGAGATTGACCGTTGGCTACAGTTAACTTGAAGGGTTTTATGGTTTCCTGCATGTGTTGTTTTGCTTTTCAATGTTAAAAAGAAGAAGAAAAGAAAACCTCATATCGCCAAACGTTATTTCCCAGGGGGCTGTTTGATGGAGCTGCTGCGTCTTGGTTGTGCCTTAGTTAACAATGCTCCTCTGTGTGTAGGTCTGTTGTACATGCATAGGTATAGGTGATAATAAATTTAGCCCATTTTATTTTCTCTGACAGTTTCAGTTCAGGGCAATTGGTTTATGGAGGACTGCCAAACAAGTCAGGCCTCCATCAAGTCATGGCAGGAAGCTTCCAGTAGGGCCTTCCTTCACCCTGCAGACTTTGTATTAGAGGACAAAGTTATAATTCATTTTTACAGCAATATCGAAAATTGCTTTGCATCACGTATGAGACAGTCATATGTTACTCCAGTTGAGTTTAAGAAAGGGGTAGAACATAAGAGCCCAGTGAAATAGCATTTACTTCATTCGCTTGGTTCTTTAGATATTTCCCAGATACCTAATTCTTTGGCATTTCTAAACACAGTGACTGCGCTGTTTCCTGACACCACATGCATTTGAAAGGCAGGAGGTAAGTGAAGACATGATCTGTCACCTTTAGAAGGTGCTGCTGGTGGTGAATGTCCCTGACAGTTGGGCATTGTATGGTGCAGGTAACTGCTTTGATAGGCACTGAGCAGCCTGGCCCTATTCAATACTCAGTGAACTGCTGTTGTATATGTGGCTAATTGTCACTGTCTCGGTGCCTGTCCTAACTTCCCCAGTTCCTGCACCTAAAACCTGTGAAAATCACCTCTTCTGGAATGCTTGACCTTCAACCTGAGTCTCTGCTTTCTTCCTCCCCTTTCCCATACCCCCTGTGTGAGCCTTTTATCTCTCCCCTTGTTTGCCAATCCCCTGAGAAGAGGGACTGAATAATTTATTTGAAGTTCCTGGGAAGTTATGGGGCTGTAGTCTGAAAACACACGGCACTGTCCTCCCCAGGCAGAAGTAGGTCCAGAGGCCTGTCTTTGAAATAGGTGGTGCTAAGTACTTTTGGGAATTAACTAGCAATTTTTGTTTAGTATTTTGGGAAAAAAATATTGGACAAAAAGATATTGCTGAAGTTTGAAGATTACTTTGTTTCCTGAATAATTTCCTCCAAAGACTGTTCCCAAATAGTGTCTTTGAAGATATTAATAGGTGTTCTGTGAACAAATACAATGGTACCATAAAAAGTTTGTGGAAAATGGAATTAAAAGATAAGTTTATTTGGGCTCAAAACTTTTTGAAATCCATTCATATATA